AAAAAATGAGAAAAGGAGGCAGGAACACCTGACACATGAAGCAGCTCACCTGTGAGGATTGAGATAGATCAGTGCTGCATGGAGGCTCACAATAGCAGAGGTAGAGATGAGAGCGCCAGGAACAAGGAGTTTCATTTCTGTGGGAAGCTGGAACTGGAAGTGGCCCCCAGGGGAGCTGAATATGCTCAAGGCCCTCGTCTTGGCACCAAATTTGTAAAGTTCCTTCCTGTGTCACAAAAGAGAAGTGGAAGAAAAGTAAAGAAATCCTTTACTGCACAGGCTCATCACAATGGAGGTGATCTTTCTTCTTTCTTATTAGTATTTTTTTGTTATTCAATGTCATCTGTTGTGATGCTTACACAATCTAGACTCTGGGTTCTCAGGGGTAAAACTCATGAAAATGCTGCCTCTACTGCTAGGTTGCTAAGTGGCTCTACTCCTCTGGGAGGGCCCATGAGGCAGTGGTGGCTCAGGGTCCTACACAGCATGTGTGAGGTCCCTGTGTCTAGTTTCAGGTGAGAACTCCATGTGAAATCACCTTAATTGAGAGCACCTGAGCTCTGTGTAGACTTCCGAGAAGCATGTGTGTGAGCTGCATGGGAGATGGGCTTCATACTGGAGCTTGGGCGCTGCAGTGAAAGCAGTCTTAAGTGACAAATTTGTAGCAGTGAATTTCCATGTGAGAAAGACAGAGTGAACTCAAATAAACAACCCAATTTTGAACAGCAAACTTCTCCAAAAAGAAGAGGAAGTCAACCCCAAAGCATATATGAGGAAGGCAATTGTAAAGATCAGAGCAGAAATTCATGCAAGGAAGAGTCAGTATATCATAGAAAGAACCAGTCCATCAAAACTTGGTTCCTTGAAAGACTAAATAAATACACAATGCTTTAGCCAGCCTTATTTTATAAAAGGAATCAAAAGACTCAAAGCAATATAGTTAGTTTTGAAAAGGGTGAAATAACAATCGATTCTGCAGACATCCAGATATTCCATGAGTACTTTCAGAACCTCACATCTAATAAGTAGTAAAACAGAGGAAATGAATAGATTCCTAGACAAATATTATTTACTAAAGCTAAATCAAAAAGATATAAACATTCTAAATATTTCATTATCAATCAGTGGAACTGAAGATGAAATTTAAAAAGTACCACAAAGGAAAGCACATGTCCTTATGGATATACAGCTGAATTTTGTAAGAAATTTAGAAAGAATCTAATACTAGGATTCCTTAAATTCTTTTTTCATTTTCTTTTCTGTATTTCTTCAGTAAGGATCTGCAGGGTCTTACTACATAGATTAGCCTCATAGTGAGCCACCTGTGTACAACCTCCCAACAAGGTGGGATTACAGGCTCACACCAACCATGCCCAGTTCAAGCGCAGCATCAACACACCCCGGGTGTGGATCCCGCATAGCAAGTTTGGGATCAAACCCCAGCAGCTGTGTCTTCCTAAGCAGGTACTTTAATCCTCTCAGCTATTTAGCTGGCCCTCTTAAATTATTTAAAGTAAGGAACAGGAAGCGGTTCTCCAAAACTCATTCCTGGAGTCAGGCATTACCCTGAAACCAAAACCAGAGAAGGATCATACTGAAAAATCGAACTACTGGCTATATTGGTTGGTTTTCTCTGCCTGCTGAGACAAGCTATCTGAAGCCCAAAATTAAGGAACGAAAGATATATTTAGCTCACAGTGTGGAGGTTTCAGCCAAAATCAGCTGGCTCCAACTCCCATTGGCATAGCACAGGGCCAGCAGTTCAAGACAGCAAAAACAGGAAGAACAGTCATAACAAGGAGGGGGCAGCAGCCTCTCTTCCTCCCACACAGCATGTATTGGCTCTCTGCCCCACCCACAGCAAATCCATGCCCTCCTCTTCCACAGGATCCGGATGTATGCTCAGTAAGGACCCTGGCACCCTGCTGAGTTGCTTACTCTTCTAAACTTCTCAAGTTGGCACAATGAACAGCACCTGACAGCAGGGAAGTCATGTTGTTTGATCCCAGAATATGCAGATTTAGAGAGTTAAGCTTCTAGGCTTCTCAGGTTGACTCTTTGTGTCAATCATGGTGGCAGGGAGATGGCTCAGTAGAATGAGCGCTTGCCTGGGAAGCACAAGGGCCTGAGTTCAATCCCTGGTTCAGCCCCCCCAACAAAAAAAGTGGTGGTCAGTCTCCTAAGTGGACATAGGGACAAAAATCCCAAAAAAAAACCCCTGAGAAATAGAATGCACTAAATCTTCAAGAAGATTATAATCCATAAGCAGATAAAATTTATTCTACGGATTCAGAGAAAGCTTCAAATAGCTACATCAATAAACGTAGTTAACAGAAAAAGGAGAAAAAGCAAGGATGATCTTAATAGATGCAAAAAAAGCATTTGACAAAGTCCTACACCCATTCGTGACACAAACAAATTAAAAATGTACAGAAAATTGGACTGCAATGTCTAATCTCAATCTGATAAAAGTCACCTATGACTGAGCTGCAGCCAATATAATTCTAAATGTTTCAAA